CACCCACACCCACACCCACACCCACACCCACACCCACACCCACACCCACACCCACACCCACACCCACACCCACACCCATACCCACACCCACACCCACACCCACACACCCACACCCACACCCGCACACCCACCTTCGTGCCTATACACCCGCACCCACACGCACACCCACACCGATACTCATACCCATACCCACACCTTACACCCAAACTTCCCACATCCACCCACAACCTATACCCACACCAACGCCCAAACCCACACCCCAACCACACTCGATACCCACACCCAAACCCGCACATCCACACCCACACTCTATACTCATACACATACCCACACACAGCTACGCCCCACATCCACACTCCATCCACACCTCACACCCACAGCCACAGCCACACCCAGGTTATTCCTTATCTTAGAAGAGAAGTATGTTGTAAAAAGGTAAACATACTTTTATCAGTGTTTACATCGAATAACAACAAAAACAAGGTTCTTATGTAAAAAACAATGAATGGTATAACTTTAACATGTTCCTTTCTCTTAGAAAGACATTGTGTTAGTTAACATAGATAAGATATATTTTATCGGCGACAATGTATGTCGTTTTAATTTTCGGCGAAAGACGGCCTTTTGTCAAACAAACAAGCCAATAGACTTGCAAAAGAAACAATCTCTGTGTTTTCACTCAAATTTTTTGCTGATGACAAATGTTCACATCACACATTCTGTTTGCAATGTCTTCATGTGCTTCTCCTATTCTTCTGATAGCAATCAAATACAATTATGAGAAACAAAGTATATGCTAAGGAGTTTTTTTCTCAATTAGTCTCACGTTTTGTCGTCATTGTCAGCTAGATCTTTCACATTTGCACAAAATTTCATTCAAAAAAGAAAACTACGTGTAAAAATATTCAATCACTTGAATAAATTCCAAAAATGTATGACTTATTCAATTCTGAATCGTTTCTATTCTATGTAAAATTATACATTTCGGAACGATAGTATAACCATTTTCACAATAATATAAAACACCTGTAGGGTGTGGGTGTGGCTGGATGTGGGTAGGTCTGGGTGTGGGTGGGTGTGGTACTACTGTCATTGATTCACACCCACCCACACCCACACTCATACCCTTTTATATTTTACAGTATCTTCTCAGAGAAAATTGTGTAAATGTTTTATCATATTGAGCTCTTGTTTAATTGCGTGATATTTTCGACTGCTAGAAAAAAGAAGATTATATATTCGTTAAGAAAGTCGAATTTTTCCAGCACGCTTCTTATGATATATAGAATTATTGAGCAATGAAAACTGAAAATAGTCTATCATTCGAAGTAGATGAAAATTTGCGTATAGTACTGGAAAAGGCTCTGTTAAATATAAATACAAGTCTGGAACGAATCTAAAATGTTCTATAAAAGTCAAAACAAATGACTTTCACAGATGAAGTAAATGTATTATTTGATCTAGTTTATCTATATCAATAACAGCAACTCAAAAATTATTGAGACAACCACGACTTTTTTCGTATTTCTTAAGGTATGTAATAAGAGCAACAGATGAATTTTTTTCTTATTACCGGCAGGGTACTCAATTTCTTTTTTGTTTTATATAAGAATTAGTCATCTAATCATTATCTCAAATACAAAGAAGTTTAATAATAAAATTAATCTGTTCTTTTACTGTGTTCATTGACAACGAGACTTTTCCCTCTTTTTTCCGTATATCAATGTACGTTCTTTTGACGTCCAAAGAACGCACAATAATGCGAAATAGGGTGTATGTGTTGGTGTGAGTTGACTGAGAAAAGACCCACACCCACAAGATCCAGTGAAATTAATGTCTGTACGAGAGACTACAGATGTACTGGCAAACAAGGAAGAAAGATATTTCTATTATCATATTATGTTGAAGAACTGCAGAGAGATGTAGTACTATCAGACTTTATCGAAGAAATGTAGCTAGATATTGAGTATTTGATTCTTCGTCAGATTTAATACAATCAATCTTGGTATAAACATTTGAAAGGAAAGACTTATCAAATGGACGCTGAGATACAATATCAATAAATCAATATGATGTTAAGGCGAAAATTGGACGTGAAGTACTATGCATCTCTCACAAAAAATCTAGATCTTTGACCTTAATACGTCCGAGAACAGTAGTAAGACGTTGTGTTCCTGGACCAACGATTTCATTCGTTTGAAGAGTAAGAAAGATGAATGTCCAAATGTAATAGACCAGATACATTGGGAAGCGCTCTTGAAAACAAAATTAGAATTCTACTTTTACAATTGCTTCGATGAAAACATTTTCAGTAAATATATTTGACTCATTTGATTATCTCATAAGGTTTGGACGACGACTCTGGGTCCTCAATGATTGATCTTATTAACAGTCAAGTTCAGTTCATGAGATTTCTTTTTGTAGATTGCATCCTCAATCACGTGCTCCAAAGCAATATTCATCAATTATAAATTGTGTCACACTAAACTCATTTGAGATAATTATGATTAACTGGATGAAATAGATGAATTACGAGGAAGAAAATCAAGTTCGATTGCTGAGATTAGTAGTAAATGTATGTGTAGTATGATCGATCATTGTTTGAAAGAAAGAATTGAAAATAATATTTTCCTACGTTGCAAAAAAAAATACGTGACGACGACATTGTTCTTTTTCGTACATTTATATTTGTTGTGTTCCGTTTAAGAAAAGAATGGTTCTCTACTTTCTGTTGTGCAGTATCAAACAGAATTTTTTTAAGGATTTGATAGATACGTCGTGGTTCTGATGTTTATTGAATACAAATTTATTGATAATAAGAATAAAATCTTTTCATTGCTCGCTCACTGAAAACGAAGAATAGAACAGAGTTGCTCTTTTATGATCATAAAAAATCAATTACATAGATGATAAAATAAGCACATGATGAAACGAAGAATGGATGTATTGTTTTGGCTGTAAATGAGAAATGATGTTGTTTTATTAACTCTTCGAATTTTGAAGTGAAAAACATAAACAAAGATAATATTATGATTCGATGGATAAATTTGATTCTTTTATTCTATTATTTTTCAAATGTGAATCCATTACCATTACCCTACAATCAATATTCTTATATGTTGGCTAGAAACAAGATTAAACAAAACGATGAAATGGGACCAATAAAACATAGTTTGAATAAAAAAGAAGTGATTGTTAATTTCTATTTGGAATGGATTCGAACAAATGAATTTATTAGAACACGAACATATTTTTATCCTGCACGACCTATTGAAACTGAAATTGAAAATATCACCAATAATCCCTTGTATCAACTTCTCAAGTTATTCCCAAAAGGTGGAAATTTACATATACATGAATCTCAAGTTCTCGATCGAAAATTGTTACTCGAATCAATTCTTAATTCGGAAGAAGACAAATATTTATACATATGTGATCAAGAAAATTGCACAACTAATAAATATTTTCTCAGTATTTTTCGATCAACACCTTCCAATGATTGGACCAAAGTAAAAGATTCAAATTGGACCGTTGTCGATATTCTGAAAAAGACAACTTTGATTGGCATTCTTAATGATCTACGTACACCTATCTATCCGACCGATAGTAGAAGTCGATGGCATGTTGCCAATAGTCATGGCGTATTTGATTTTTATGATGATGTGATTCGTTACAATACAACACGATTCAATTATATGAGAATGGTTTTAGACAATGCTCTAGAAGAAAATATTCAATTGCTTGAATTTCGACGAAATTCTTTCGGAACTCTTTTCTATTATGATGATAATGGAACGAAAATCCTAATTGATCCCTACGAAGAATTGAATAGACTAACAAAATTCAAAAATGATTACATGAAAAATAATCCAAAATTGATCGATTTTGTATTTTTAATGCATGCATTGAGATTTCGATCCGAAGAACAAGTTAAAAATGATCTCAAACGGTTCGTCCGTCTTCAGCAAGCCTTTCCTGATTTTGTTCGTGGTTATGATTTAGTTGGAGAAGAAGATCAAGGACATACGTTGTTATTTCATAGTCATAATTTGATGGAAGTTTTCAATGAATCGTTTGCTCCGTATTTGCATGCTGGTGAAACAAATTGGCCCGAAGAACATATTCTTAGTAATGATGTAGATGGTGTCAGTACATTCGAAAATATCTATGATGCTCTCATCTTTCGAACCCGCCGTATTGGTCATGGATTAAGTTTAATTAAACGCCCAGATCTATATAAATACATACGTCAATATCAAATTCCGATTGAGATCTGTTTGGCTAGTAATCAAATATTGGGTAAATTCTGAAGTTTTCAATGCATATACTATTGTTTGACTTTTTCAATGGATTCTTTTTTCGCATAGGCTATACAGCTGATCTGCGCAACCATCCAGGTATTACATATCATCGTAGTGGTATTCCCATTGTACTGGCTGGTGATGATCCTGGAAGTTTTGGATACAATCAACTGACTGTCGATTATTATTTAGCGACGATGGCATGGGCTTTGAATTTGGCTGATCTTAAGCAAATTGCTCGAAATTCAATTCAATATAGTTCCATTCCGATAATGATGAAGGAGCAGGGTTTGAAAAAATGGGAATCTGCATGGAATTCTTTTATTGATTCTATTCACGAACTCGCCTGTAATCAAAGTGATCTCAATATCAATTTGACTATAACTCATCTGTTACCGATGTATGGTCCACATCATATCTCTATCAATGTCACACTTCTTGGCGTAGGTTTCGAAAGTATGATATGTCAAACGATTATCTGTAGTTTTGGTGAACATGACTCAAAAGGAATACTTGTTAATTTGAAAGAGATCATGTGTTCGACACCAATCATTAAAAGCGATCTTTCTACTGTACCGGTTGCCATCATCGTCAATGGAACAAGGATCACCACCAATTTTAATTACACATTTATTTCAACGATTCCCGTGGTTATTGATGATGATACAACTCGAATACAGATTGCGTCAAAAGTGCAAAAATCTATTTCTTCTCATCAACTAGTGATAGCTGCCATTATCCTTGTCTTTTTGTGCTTATTGACATAGGCACTTTGCGTTCATAATGCAGTTTTCTCAAATATTTATGGTATTGTAAGAGTGCTCGTTCGCAGAAATTTAGATTTATCTGATGCATTACAAGTTGATCACCAAAGTTGTCATCAGAATGTCAGATCTTCTTTGACAGCTTTGCCTGAAGAAAAAAGTCCGCTTTTTTATTCCATCGAATGGAAATTATATTCAAGCTATGTACCACTGTTTATATTAAGGGAATATGAGGAAATGATTCCAGTGTTCCATTGTGAAATACCATCCCATAGTTTAGTGTCATAAGGGTATGGGTGTGGATGTGAGCTCTGCAATCACACCTACCGCCACACTCACACTCACATCCCCACTCACCCCCTAATTGCTGGGGAAGTGTCGCATTTTACTTGCTCGTTGTGTATTGCACATAATCAATGGTAATAATCGAACGGTGTGGGTGTGAGTGTGGGTGTCATTTCTCTCTTTCCTCACACCCACAACGAAAAGTGCTCACAACCATGTTGTCGAATCAAATCTACACTATCCAACACATCTCTACAACAACAGCATCCAATCAATGTTCAAACCACTTCTACTCTCAACGAACCATTATCGCAATCTGTATTCTTCATCAAGCGCTTCTGCTTCTCTATTTCTTTCTTTCATCATTTTTTTTTTTTGACTTTCTTTTTTTCCCCTTTTCGTCTTTTGCAATTGTAACGTAATTCTTTATATATAAGGACCATGGACAAAGAACAAAAAAAGAAACTTCCACCATTCTTCATCGAGAAATCTTATGCGACTCTTAACCGGATCGAAACGCGTCGTAATAGGTACATGAGATATCTCTTATCTTTGGATTTGAGTTATCACTTTTAAACTCATCCCATCCTAGCCTGATCGAAATAGATATCGTAGTAGCTAAACAATTCTATTGATTGATTAAGATTAATTAGAATTTGTCTAAATTCACCCTCATCCGTCATTCATCCATCCTCACATCTCTTAGCTATTTAGACACAGAAAGCAAGAATTGATTTCTATTGCAATATATTAGAAAAAAGGTTCATTTAATATCATGATTGTATGTATTGTATTCTTTGACAATGAACATATTGATCTAAAACAGAAAAGCAAAACATGATTACAAAATATGTATTAGGATTTAAGGTTTTTGTTCCCAAGTTTGCAATAACTTCTTTATATTACTGATATAGTTTCTGCTACTTGATTTTCATTTATACAAATATATAGCATTTAAGAACTCTTATTAAAATGAATATTTTTACATTATATTGAATCATTATAGTTATTCATACTCTTCATATCGAATATTAACTGATCCAATGAAATAAGAAGTACAAAAAAAAACAATTTGTTTCTTTTTACTAGTTTTCTATGAACTGAGATGCAATCGTATTCGCATTGTCCGTCCATATTGTTCGATAGTCTTTCGAAATATTTGTTTGTAAGATGCTGATGGAAAAACAAATAATAAAGAAGTTAACATAGATGGAACAAATGAAATAAGATATCCAATAAGAGATAGCCATGAACCACTAGTTGACTTCATACAACCTCCAACGAAAGAAATAATTAGACGTGGCACAGCAAGAATAACTAAAACAAATGGAGCGATTATTAAATTTATGTGTTCTTGAAATTGTTCTCGCAATAATTTTTTATATGATTGATGTTTGTATACAGTTGTTCGTTGTCGAGTAATCATTACTATAATAATAATAATAGCTGATATAATATTGATAAGAAACGGAGCAAAAAAATGAAACATAAGTATGAATGAATTGAATGCTCGAAGATTGCTTGAATAACTAACAATACACCAAATTCTTTTCTCATCAACATCATCATCATTTTCATTTAGTAGACGTCGATGAATAGGATCATGAATAGTTGTGCTGGTAATTGTAAAGAGAAGAATAAGAATAATATATTTAGCTATTTGTTTGCTCTTGTTTTGATCAAATCTAGTTTCTTCTATTGTGGTAATTGTTCTTTCTATACCTACATATGCATTTAACCATTGATCCATACTAAGACCAATTCGTAGAAGAAAATCTATTGAAATACACTGAAACTTTAAAAATGATTAATTTATCATGTATGTTATTTGTGCAATGATAAGTATCCAGAATTTCAAAGCAAAAATAATCATAATGAATAAAGTAATAATTGACGAAGTCAACAAATAGAGACCACAATCAGTTTGGCGTGGTTCTTTATTTCTAAATGTAATTATCGATAGAACACTATCAGTAATTCCAGTTTTGATTAGAATCATTGTCAATGCTACACTAACTTGTACAATAGATGGTTGATATTTAATGTTTATATGTGGTTGAATATAATAACCTAAGATAGCATCGAGTGAAAGATCAAATAAATTTGAAGTAAATTGACATCGTGCTCCATAAAAACATTTTGGACAAACACATATCGATGTTTGTGGACAAGTTGCTTTGTCTTGTAAACAATGTGCACCATTTTCACAATTACTTTGACCAAAACAATTTTATTCAATTCCATGATTGAATTCAAAACAATTAGTCAAACGTTGATGATTATAATCATTACAGAAACAAAAATGATTATTATTATAGAAACAAGATAAAAATGGTGAACGTTTTTGACATGATAATTGATAATATTTTATACGACGAAGAGGATGAAGTTTTATGATAGTTTCATTCAATATTTCATTTATATGTTTACAATGATCTAATGGAGTAATTGTTCGAATAATTGTTGTCGATGGATTGTATTTATTTTGAACAATAATTAAATAGTAGTTATTATTGAAAAAAATCAACAAAAGCAACATGAAATGGATATGACCATTGAATAATAATTGATTTCTGATTAGTAACAATAGTTTTGAAAGTAGAACCATTTTCATGTGAACCATTATCAATCGCTCGAATAAAATGAACAAACATTGTTTGTGGTAAAATAATATCTTTATGAAATGATAGAATTATTTTACTATCAACTATTTCACATCTTTCTCCACTAAATCCTTTTGGACAGATACATATAAATGGCTTATGAGAGATGATATTTTCATCAATAGGTATGCATTTACCATTATTCTGACAAGTAGCATTTTGATTCGAATAATATATTGTATTATGAAGTAAACATTAAGAACTCCATTTATGAAGTGGACAAATACAAATCGATCGATTATTTGATGATATATCAATACATAATGAATCAGATGAACATGTACATCTATATGAAATAGTACAATATTTTCCCGTCCATTCACGATAACATTGACAAAAACTATCATTATTTGAATTATTTGAATATCTAATACATTGACCATGTATACATGGTTGATTTAAACAATTTTCTTGTCTATCATTTGTACATGGAATATTAAGTTGAACAGCAATACGATGTACAGGTAGTAATGGATATTCAAGTGGAATTAAAAAACTTTTTCGATATGTAAATGAAATCTTTTCATAAATATCAATATGAATAAAATCATTTTTTGTTAAATTTTTTGATCTAGTTGAATAAAGTAAATAAATATTAAATTTAGTTTGACAATCTCGAATATAAATATAAGTAAGTTGTTGATATGAGTGAATAATTCTTTCATAAGTATCATCAATAAGTAAAATAATTAATACAAATAATATTCGTCGAGAATCAGAAAATGTTTGAAATTGTAATGTGTAAGACTAACACGTTGATTTTAATATTGACACATATTACCATAAAAACTAGGTGGACAAAGACATGAGGCAATAGTCAAGTTTTGATCAATGTTTAACCAAATTCGTAATGGAAGACCACGATGACAACGTTGCTGATGCTGTTGGATAGTTGTTTGTCTGGTGGATGAATGTAAGATCATTTCATTTGTATGTTGTTGAGTTATTTGATTAGCTGAGTTCGTTGATTTACCAAGTGAAAAATGTACCGCTGTCGGTTTATTGGCATCGAATTGACGTGTACAAAAGAAATTTTCAACTTCAGAACGAACACTTTCATACTGTTTATCACAAATAGTAGTGTCTAGAGTGATACCTCGATTTTTATCACAAAACTGTTCATCAGTTCCATCTTGACAATGACTTTGATAACACAAGTCTTCGGGCTTAATACAAAGTTCGTCTGTGTCACTGATGCACTGAAAATTTTCGTCGCTAGATTGATAATCATTTGATCGACATAGTTTAGGTTCATCAATATCACCAAGATAATCAATATTACCATCATGCGCTTTTCTAAGAGTTAAACACATAAACTGATTTGTATGAGGTGAAACACAAATGTGATGATGTTGATATGGACAATTAAATGATAATGATGATGAATAACAATCAACTTCATCAGCTTCATTAAAACAATTCCAAAAACCATCACATCGTGTGTAAGTAATGTTACATTGCCAATATTCATATTCTGTTTCATCTGTTTCATTTCGTCCATTAATAGTAACAGATATTAATTCTGTAAAACCATTACAAATAGTTGTAAATGATATATGTTTTCTAATATAAGTGTGTAGGTGTGGGTGTGGGTGTTTATCGTCTCTTCACTCATATCCACACCCACCCTCTGAACAGACCTAAGTGGACACTACTAGTGATTAAAATATTAGACTTTCCATTTCAGAATTGTAGGAAATAGAGCTCTTCCAAGTTAGCCCAAATTTCGGTGTTTTTCATGAAATCCCTGTGGGGGACCTCAGGTAATCGAAAAAATCGTATTTTCGAATTTTGACCCGAAACTTTGCGTATACGGAGGCCTCAACCAGACTAGCTTGCACAGCAAAATTCACAAGTTTTGAACGAAGTCTCGTCAAGCTATGAAGCTTTATCTTTTGAAGAGGACTTTTATGATAGAAGGTCCATATCCCGGAAAAACTGTGTTCAAAACTTGTGAATTTTGCTGTGCAAGCTAGTCTGGTTGAGGCCTCTGTATGCACAAAGTTTCGGGTCAAAATTCGAAAATACACTTTTTCCCATTACCTGAGGTCCCCCACAGGAATTTCTTGAAAAACATCGAAATTTGGACTAACTTGGAGGAGCCCTATCTCCCACAATTCTGAAATGGGAAGTCTAATATTTTAATCACTAGTAGTGGCTACTAAGGTCTATTTAGAAAAAAAATTTCAAGAAATTCTAACGCGTAGTTTTTGAGAAAACCGGGTCCCAACATGAGGATTTTCAGGACTCCCGATCCCTTTGAACCGCTTTGTCTAGAGTATAGAATAGTTTGAAGAAATTTGCCATAGTGCTTTTGAACAAGAATAGTATAAGCTTCATTTTGATTATAATATGTTAGGGCCTCTAACGGGTTGTATAAATTTTATAAGCAGTTCAATTTAAGGCTAGAGTGCCAATTTTCCCGAATTTTCAAATGCTCCCGAACAATGAGTTCCAGAGATATAGCTCTGAAAATTATTTTACAAAGACAACTTTTTATGCTCTATTTAATGATTAAATCAAAACTTCCAAAGAACGTTCATGAAGAATAAAGGAGACACATTTCGGGGGTCATTTTTTGATAAAATCGACTTTTGAGCCTGCTCTGCAGCAGTTAGCGCATGATTCTAAAGGAAACTTGTAAATATCAATTCCTAGATAACTCAACGAGGACTACAAGACTAGCATATTTAAATCTTGCCAGAAAAAAGTTCTGTAAAAAGTGGGCGGAGCTGCGTGGACGTGGTCTCATATTAATGATTTTGTATTCATGTGTGATGATGATCTTTCCGAAGATGATTATTTGAAATTCGTTATTGAAAAATTACATATACATTGGTTGGAAGATAATTCATATTGTCTTAGAATGAATCATTTTACATATCGACAAGGAGAAGAATATCAACATATTCAAATGTCAATTGGTGATCCAAAGACTAAAAAATATAGAGATGATCATACACTATTAATTGAACGACTATTATTTTGAAAAAGCGTTTTATATAAAAATAAACTTCTGAACGTAATCATTCTTTTATTAGTAAATACATACCTAGTAGAATTATATCAAGAGTGAATCACTAAGCGATGATGATTCGTTCGTTATATATAGATCAGAGAAAGATAGAAAGTGATTTCACGTATATATATTTATTCTTTTTTGTTGTTCTACATCAGTATCATCGTCATTTGTTATTTTAAACATGCAACGAAAACGACAACGACGAAATGTCGTGGTTGACGATTATCATAGTAATAAAAAACGAAAATTACAAAATGAAAGTAAGATTTTATGTTTCAATTTAATCAATCTCGTTTGTTTTCTTTTTTTTCTAGTGACAACAATTAATACAAAATTTCGATCTCGATTTGAAGATTTAGCAAATGAAATTCTTTATGAAGTATTTGAATATCTAGATATTTATCATGTTTATGATGGATTTTTCAATCTTAACAAACGATTTCAAAATTTACTAATGAATTCCAATCTTTCTATTAAAATTAATGTATCAACAATGTCAAAATCAAATTTCGAACATTATTATAAAGATATAATTTTACCAAATAAACATCGAATAAACTGTCTTCGATTATCAAATCCATTTACTATTGATATTGTTTTTTCACCACCACGAATTATTACCAAATTTGTTCGTCTTGAAACATTAATTTTTCACAACATTGATGCAAAATATCTTCATAACATTCTCAATCAATCCATTCATTTACCTAAATTACATTCATTAGTACTTACTCTTGCTGATTGTGTACAAGATCCAAATAAACTTTTTTTAAATATACTTCGTTTACCTAGATTAAAATATTGCAAAATTACATATCAAACAAAAAAAGTTTCACGATCATTGGAGGTTTGTTTTGATAATTGTGAAGTCAGTCCTATTGAACATCTCGTAATGAACTGTCGTTTTCCAATTGATTCATTTAATCGTTTATTATGTTATGTTCCTGAACTTCGTCATTTATCAATTGATTGTCTTATTGAATCTAATGATACAGATATGAAATTATGTCCTATTTTATTGAAACATTTAAAATATGTTTCTCTCAATATTGATAATGTTTTATTTAATGAATTTGAATTATTAGTAAAAAATTATTTTCATTCTATTGAAGTTTTACGTCTTACAACAAGAATGGATCAAACATATTTAAATGCAAATCGATGGGAAAAATTAATCTTATCTTCGATGCCAAATCTACGTATTTTTGATTTCCACCATGATAATTCTGTGTTCGAAGATAGTCCTGTAACATATCATGATTTAGTTCATCAATTTACATCTCAATTTTGGATTGAACGACAATGGTTTTTTACACATCAACATGATTGGCCAGGAAGAATTGAAAGTGGAATATTTTATTCAACAAATCCATATCGGTAAAAAAAAAAAAGATTAATTTAATTTTATGAAACTCTTTTTTTTTCTAGAAGAAAAGATTATACATTTTATTGGGAATTAGACAAACAAATTTGTCCTCATCTTCAAGAAAATAATTTAAATTCAGTTAAACGTCTTCTCATTCGTAATAAACGAACAACAAGTGATTTTGTCAATTATTTTCCAAATGCAACTGAATTGACTATTTCATATTGTTTTGAAAGGTCTGATGAACCATTTATACCAATTCTTCATCGTATAGTTCCATTAGAACATCTTACTAAATTACATATTGGTCTTGTTTATTTTCCTTTTGAACAAATGGTTGAATTAATAAGTTTGACACCTAATTTACATACATTGAAATTGCATGTCTTATCTATCAATGAAACTTGTTCAAAATTAATTAAACAAACTGATATTTTTCGATATGTATTAAAAACAAATAAAATAACAAATTTAGAATTTAATTGTCCAACATTAAAAGACATTCAATTTTTAGTTGATTTATTTCCTCGATTAGAATATATTAAAATTGGGATGGATAATCAAAGAATGAAAGAAATTCTACGATTTTTATTTACAAATATAAGTAATAAATTATCTCATTTATTTTTCTTATGTATTGATCGAGTACCTAAAAGATATTTACAAGAATTTGATATGTTACTTAAATCAGAAAATTTACTTAATGATTATTTTATCAAACTTATTAATCGTCAATTATATTTATGGTGGTCAAAATTTTTATTGTTATGAATAGATTTTATTTTATTGTATACAGTTAAT